CCTCTGACGTTGTTTGTGGTTCAGGAGTGGCTTAACAAGAGGAATATGACAACTGTAGCCAAATTCCTTGACATGTCTGTGTGTGGTGGCTCTTGATGCCTTGACCCCAGCCTCAGTCCATTCCTTGTGAAGTTCACTCAAATTCTTGAATCGATTTTGCTTGACAATCCTCATAAAGCTGCGGTTCTCTCGGTTGGTTGTGCATCTTTTTCTTCCACACTTTTTCCTTCCACTCAACTTTCTGTTAACATGCTTGGATACAGCACTCTGTGAACAGCCAGCTTCTTTGGCAATGGATGTTTGTGACTTACCCTCCTTGTGAAGGTTGTCAATGATTGTCTTCTGCATAACTGTCAGATCAGCAGTCTTCCCCATGATTGTGTAGCCTAGTGAACCAAACTGAGAGACCATTTTGAAGGCTCAGGAAACCTTTGCAGGTGTTTTGAGTTGATTAGCTGATTGGCATGTCACCATATTCTAATTTGTTGAGATTGGTGGGTTTTTGTTAAATGTGAGCCAAAATCATCACAATTAAAAGAACCAAAGACTTAAACTACTTCAGTCTGTGTGCGTTAAATTTGTTTAAAACACGAGTTTCGCAATTTGAGTTGAATTACTGAAATAAATGAACTTTTCCACAACATTCTAATTTATTGAGATGCACCTGTATCTCCACTGGCTTGTAAGGGTGCTAGACCAGTTTACCATAATTGTCTAGTCACGAAAACTAAACTGAAGTATTTGTGTATCCCCTGACCTGTGTGTGACCTCTTGCAGTAACACTGATGTTCACACAGTGGCATCCCTCCTGAAGCTCTACCTCAGGGAGCTGCCAGAGCCTGTGATCCCCTTTAACAAATATGAGGACTTTCTAACCTGTCTACAGCTTCTGCTAAAAGATGAAGAAGTGGTGAGTCTGCTATACATCAGTATTTCAATGAGATGAAGTTAATAATGATTGCCCTTGCAAAAAAAGAGATACTCTTTAGTTGAGAAGTATTTATGAAAATAATATACTTTTAAAGAGTATACTTATAAGTATATTGTGTTCTGAATGTAATGTTTTCAGACACTTAATTGCTTAAAGTGCACTAATGAATATTCTGACAAGCATTTATAGTAAACTAAAATATACTTTCCTTTCAAATATATTAACTTTCAATGCAATATGAAAAAACACACTGCAGTTAAAATTATAATCAAGTACATTACATGTGTTTTAGTATGTTAGTCAACACATCAATATAACTGTTTTACTTTAAAACATGACAAAATATTATAGATTAAAACAACGATTTAAAATGTAAAGTAAAACTATTACTTTGACATTATTACAAAGGGCACTTCTCTTTTCTATACACTTCATTGGCCTTTTATTTCAGTAATCAAATATTATCGGCAAGTACAGTTTTTAAAAAATATACTTTAAATATATTTAGTACACTACAAGGGCACATTCAGTGCAATTAAGCTCACTTCTTTTTCACAAAGATGGTTTTGAAAAGCTCACTGCATTTTTTTCTCACCAAAAAACTTGTTTCCTGGATTTGTAATGGATCTTGTTCCCATGTGTCTCCTAAAGGGTCTCAGTGAGCTTGTGAACCAGGTGAACACTCTTCCTCAGGCTAATTATAATTTGTTAAAGTACATTTGCAAGTAAGTGAATGTATACTGTAGCATACTATAAGTTTTCTTGTACATGGCGATGTTGTTGAAACGATTCCTTTACTGATTTAAATGAATGATAAATGAATGACTGTTGTATTCACTGTATGTTTTCATGTAGATTCTTAGATGAGGTGCAGTCACATTCGAATGAGAACAAGATGAGCGTTCAGAACCTTGCAACAGTTTTTGGACCAAATATCCTTCGGCCTAAAGTAGAGGACCCTGTTTCAATGATGGAAGGTAAGTAAGTCTTGACATAGTAATATTTATCAGTTTAATATAATTCAAGTTGAAATGACTGGTACAGCCAATCTGATTATACTTATATATTTTTTTACAGTAAAGAAACTCATATTTGAGGGTTGTTGTTTTTTTAGGAACCTCCCAGGTTCAGCACCTGATGACGGTGTTGATCAGTGAACATGATCGTCTGTATGTGGGGACTGAGGGAGATGCGATTTCAGAGCAGACCAGAATTTGTCGTCAGGGTCAGCGTGGCAGGGCGGAGTGGATCTCCGATGAGGAGATGCTGAACTGCTCATCGCCGAGCCAGGCGTCCAAAGTGGCAGAGAGTGTGTGTGGCAGTGCCACGTCCTTAGATATGAGTACAGGTGCCCCTACCACTGCCAAAATGACACCTCAGGGAAAAGCTGGGGTGACAGTCAGCCCCAGCAAACAGGCTAAATCCCTCCCCTCTTGGAAATACTCCTTCAAGAGCGGAGGGGTACGTGCTCAACCTGCAAAAATCGGGGGCTCGTCTGTGGATGTGTCCACCTTGCCCAGTACGGGCAACTGGTTGATGAACGGGCTTTCCTCTCTGCGCAGCCACCGGCGTACATCATCAGGAGAGCGCATGGGCAAGGATTCAGCCCCGTCGCACCGTTTATCCACTTACGACAATGTGACCTCATCGAGTCTCAGCGTACCCAGCGCCGCAAGCACGCCCTGGTCCACGTCCTCCTGTGAGATCTTAGTGGACGACTCTGTGGGTAGTGACGCCTCTGGACTGAACTCTGTGAAGGTGGATTGGTCAGTTGGAGGGTCTGTCCAAGGGCAAAGTGGGGACAGGAATTCAGAGGTCACTAAGAGCAGCGAAGTACTGGAAATGTGTGTGAGCAGTGCAGGCTGCAGTGAGAATGGAAGTGGAGAAGATGCGGTGAACGTCACAGGAGACACTGACATTAGCAAGACAGCACTTAACGGCCTGGTAACAGAGCTGAAAGACGAGTTAAAGAAACAGAAGGTCAACTACGAATCACAAATACGAAGGTATGTTTGAAATCCACTGCACATTGATGAAATGTATTTTGTCTTTAGACTTCGTAAGGTAAAGTTTACTTGAAACACTTAAATTAAGCTCAAAACGTGAGCAGTCAACACTTTCTAATCATTCTAGTAGTGTTAAGATCTTTTTCAAAGATAAAATGTGTAATTTTTTCAGTGTTAAAGCAGGAATGAAACAAAAGTTGCAATTGTCATTTATTTCCTATTGTGACATATATGAGTGAAACAGCTTTTCGAACAAGAAGAAATGTAGGATGTAACTTAATTTTATCCATCTAGAATTGATTATTGTTGTCACTAATAACTGTAATCTCATGTGATTGACAAGCTTCTTGGTTAGTGCGTCAACACATAGTGCAACTATGCTCACGATTTGTGATTCGATTCCTGTCTCGAAGTCCTTTGCCGATCCCGCTCCCCTCTCTCCTCCAAGTGCTTTCCTGTCATCTCAATAAAAAAGGCATAAAAAACCCATAAAAATTGCTTTAAAAAAATAAGTAACTGTCAATTTTGATATCAGTTTGGCATCACAGATTACAAATTGTCATTTATTTCCTATTGTGACATATATGAGTGAAACAGCTTTTCGAACAAGAAGAAATGTAGGATGTAACTTAATTTTATCCATCTAGAATTGATTATTGTTGTCACTAATAACTGTAATCTCATGTGATTGACAAGCTTCTTGGTTAGTGCGTCAACACATAGTGCAACTATGCTCACGATTTGTGATTCGATTCCTGTCTCGAAGTCCTTTGCCGATCCCGCTCCCCTCTCTCCTCCAAGTGCTTTCCTGTCATCTCTCTACTGTTATATCTCAATAAAAAAGGCATAAAAAACCCATAAAAATTGCTTTAAAAAAATAAGTAACTGTCAATTTTGATATCAGTTTGGCATCACAGATTACCGCTTCTGGTTCCAAACGGATGCCAAAAGCAAGCTACAAATAGTGTTAATATACACTCAGTGTGCTTATACTAGTAGTACTGAAAAATCATGATCCTAACCTTTATCTTCATAATGAATTCTCATTTGGCCAGAGAGTGATTAATCTTTTATTAATCGTTATTAATTTTGAGCCTGGAGACTGTTGTTTACACTGAGTTTTTAAAAGCTGAGCTTAAATGTGTGATACAAAAAAAAATTGTGCTCATAAACATCTGAAGCAAGTAGATGCTTGGACCCGGAAACAGTATTCCTTACATTATGACTTAACAAGTGGATTATGGTGACTAATAAAATACTTACTCCTATTATAGTTTTAATATGCAGACATGAGGAAGCCATTTTGTTGGTTGATTTTCCATGAAAAAGAGTAAAGACTGTGGACCTTCTTCTGTCTCTGCCAATAGAACAGAGTGTTTGAGAAACCTGCTTGACAACATTTATTATTTTTGCATTCTTATTTGATATTGCTAGTGGTGCAGAAATTGCACACTATATGTATAGTAAACAGTGTATCATTTAAAAGGAGAACAAAACCATTTTTGAGCAACCTTCAGAAGTTCAAAAAAAGTGTATTTTTATTTATTTTTTATTAATTTTTATAGTGTGTTAATATTTTGGGAGAAGAACACCTGCTATTTGTAAATAATAACAAAAATTTTATGGAGTTTTCTTTTTATTTCCTACAGTATCACATAGAGTACTTGGCATTAATGTTAAAATTTAATTATCATAATGAATTTTTCTAAGGCTAGAGGAAACAAGTGTCACTATGCGTAACCAAATGGAGAGACTAGAGGAGGAGTTGGACCAGGAGAAGAAAAAGTATCGCATGTTGGAAATTAAACTCCGCAACTCTGAGCGGGCCCATGAGGACGCAGAGACCCGCAACCGCTTGCTTCAGAACGAGATGGAGGAGTTCTTCTCCACTTTGGGAGATCTTACGTTGGGAACAAGGACAAGCAAAATTTGACTGGCCCTCTTACAGGCCTCCTGATTTAACACTGAGAGACTATGTGTTTGTTGTAGATAGAATTTCGAAACCTCTCTGCTCATGCATCATGAGTATTCAGAGGTAATTTTGTGCTGTTTTGTTACAGCGACTTGATCATGTGTAGCAGTTACACTTTTCTCCCTGATCTTCAGTCTTTCATTTTAAAGGGATAGTTCACACAAAAATACAAATGCAATGGTTATTTACTCACCCTCATATTGTTCCAAACCAACATGCTGTTTTTCTGTAGAGAACAAAAGGATAATTTTTGAAAAATCTTCACAAGTAGTGCACATTTTGTGTGAAGAACATACCAAAATGTAAATCTTGTTCTTAATGTCAAACTTGCCACTTCTTCTTTGTAAATAATAACAATATTTTCATTTTCAGGTGAACTATTCCTTTAAGGTGCCATTCAGTTCCCATTAGCATTCATCACTTTCATAACTTAACATGCACAGATAATACCAAAACATGACTCTTCTGACCAGACTGTCTCACAAAGGCAGGTCATTTTAATGGCGTTTCCTGTTAATGCATGGTATGAAAGATGTCCTGCTGAACTGTCTCTTGAGGTTTTAGTGACATTATCACACAAGTCTTTTTCAATCAAAGTCTACATCATTTAAAGGGGTCATATGATGTTGCTAAAAATAACATTATTTTGTGTATTTGGTGTAATGAAATGTGTTTATGCGGTTTAAGGTTCAAAAAACATTATTTTCCACATACTGTACATTATTTTTTCTCCTCTATGCCCCGCCTTTCTGAAATGCATTGATTTTTACAAAGCTCATCGGTCTGAAAAGCGAGGTGTGCTCTGATTGGCCAGCTATCCAGTGCGTTGTGATTGGCTGAATACCTCAAGCGTGTGACGGAAATGTTACGCCCCTTGCCATATTGTGATGCCTTGTCCCGGCTGGAGCAACGAGGCAAAAACATTAAAACCCAATTTAAACGAGGCATTTGTTGCATCCAGTGGGGATATACTTACGGATTATAATGATTTATACTGTCTTTTTATGCATTGCATTGTATCGCGCCGCGTAAACATAAAGCCATGTCTGCATTTGTGATCGGAGAAATGACAAACTACAAACGCTAACGTTACTCTACACTGCTCAAAACTCGCGTTTGAATCGTAAGTGGCAAATTATATATATATATATAAAAAACGTACTTACAGTCTGTGAGTCACAACAGTCACATTGTAGTCTACTCTACCAGGATCAGGGAACAGTCCTCCATAAAATGTGCTGGACACATCGGAATATTTGGGTTGAACTGTTCTGGAACAGTGTTGTAAATACAACTTAACCACTGATTTCTAGTCGTGTCCTCTTTTGGAAGGTCAAACAAAGTGGTTTCACTTTCACAACGAAACACAGCGTTACACACGGCGGCATAGTCAAGTCAAGTCACCTTTATTTATATAGCGCTTTTAACAATACAGATTGTGTCAAAGCAACTGAACAGCATTAATTAGGAAAATAGTGTCAATAATGCAAAATGACAATAGTAAACACTAATTTTCAGTTAAAGACAGTTCATCATTGAATTCAGTGATGTCAACATCCAGCTCAGTTTAAATAGTATCTTTGCAATCATGTCAACGATATCACTGGAAATGAAGTGTCCCCAACTAAGCAAGCCAGAGGCGGCATAGAGTGAGTGGAGGCCGGGGGCTAGAGTTAGCGGCAGCGGCCTAGAGTGAGCGGAGGCCAGCAGATTCGACGAAGGAGCGTCCGGTGGGCTTGTGGCATCCACATGTGACGACCCCGGGCTGGACTCCGCTTCGTCCACGGTGAAAGCCGATCCGGCGATCCACAGTGCGAAATTGATGTATTTCCTCAGCGACCAGCACGGATCAGCTCTAGGCATGACAAAGCGAATATCATCCTCTTTTGGAAGGCCAAACAAAGTAGTTTCACTTTCACAACGAAACACACAGAACACAAACGTAGACGTAAATCGTGACGTAGACATGTGGGGCGTATTAGAACGAGCCATTTTTTGGTTGGTGTGGTTGACTCTTAACTTTTATAAAGAATATCTCTTTGGATTTGAGACTTTAGTCTTTGCAACATTACAGACCTTCTTTATGCACCAAGAGCTTGTAATACTCCAAAGAGAAAGGAAAAATTGAAATCGCATCATATGACCCCTTTAAAACCAGTTACCATATACAAGCTGCATCCTGTCACACTGTGCCTCACACTTCCAGATATGAGATCAACTGTTACACCATTAGACCTCACAGACACAAACTCTTTTCAGCAAATCCCTTTATTGTAAGTAAAATGCACTAGAATAAAAGACCGTTTTTGAATTAGGTGAGGTAACTCCATCCAAACTGTACAACTGTCCGATTATACAACAGTTAAAATCTCAGCTATATTGAAAGATTATTTCAGCTGCAAGATTGCCAAGGCTAGTATTTATTTAAGCTTTCTCAGGTGGTGTTTTTCAAAACACTCAGTGAATGAGTGTCTTTATATAAAATAGATGATGGAACTAAGGCTGACATATACTTGAATGTGTTAAAGTATTTTTTTTAAGTATGCACATACTGTATGTTCGTGTGGTCATTTTTTTTGTTAATTGATTCCTGAATGCAGAAAGTGCCAAAATAGAGGTCTTCAAAAAATGGGTGTTTCATTTCAAATGAAGACTGACTAGTCTTCCTAATAAATTGTCGTTGTCATCAAAATAATTCTGTGACTTTATGATGCATCAAGGAAAGTCTGAAGTTAAGATTGTGAAAACTGAATCATATACTTATTGATAACCAGTGTTGGGGAGTAACTAGTTACATGTAACGGAATTACGTAATTTATTTACAAAATAAAAGTAATTGTAATCAGTTACAGTTACTAAGAAAAAATATGTAATTAAATTACAGTTACTTATGAAAATATTAAGGATTAGAAAGGGGGTTACATCTGATTTTTTTTCACAAACACTCCCACATACATATTTAATTGAGTTCTTTCATAAATTGCCGTGACTGCTCTAAAATATGAAACACCAATGTCTCTTTACATGCTAATGAGCTCTGCTCATCCCGCCCCTCTCTTTTGTGGAAGAGCAAACGCGATTCGCAAATAATCATAAAAAATAAAAAGTGTGTTGACACCGATAGCCTTGTGGGCAGGGCGCTGACATACAGCACCATTGCACTTCGGGTATCCCGTGTTCAAATCGGACCTTTCCCGATTCCGCTGAAGGTGGAAGAGAGCGCTGGTATTCATTTCAAAATCAAAATGGCTTGATAATTGAGACTGTTAAGGTTTTTGGGGGGTTAAAAAAAAGGAGTGCATTTTTATCATTGTAGTTGTTGTACAATTATCATTGTCGGTGGTTGTGTCCACACACTGCTAAGATACATTTATATGCAAATGAAGATATTCTGCATCCAATGTCTCCTTTAAAATTAAAATATTATAATCTTTATTCAAGTGATGAAGGATTTCGAAAGTCTGACAGTTATCAGTGTTGAGCACATATTGTAAGTTTAACCCTGCCTGGTTTACATGTTTGAAAATGATTAACAGTTGAGAATATTACACATTTAGAAAAGTAATCAAATGTAATCAGTTACATTACTTTAATAAAGTAATTGAAAAGTTACACTACTTATTACATTTTAAGTAGGGTAACTTGTAATCTGTAACCTATTACATTTCCAAAGTAACCTTCCCAACACTGGTGATAACATTGTACAAAAGATATTTGTTTTCTATCAAACATTTCAAAAATTAAAAAAAGGGATAATTCACCCAAAAATGAAAATTCTGTCATCGATTACACTTGTCTTACACTACACTCAAAACAAAAATGAAGATTGTTTTAATGAAACCTGAGAGATTTCTGTACTTCCATAAAAAAAGGCCATTCTACCAAAAAACTTCAATGCTTCGAGAAGTATGTACGTTTGAGCTTGCATTTACCATATTTTATGTGCTTTATATGTTCTCTGATCAATGTTTGAATGTGAATAAAAGCCTAAGTAAATCTGTTCTTCATATAAAGCAATTGTGTCTACTCAGAGGACTTGGATTAAACCACTCGATTCATATAAATTTCCTTTATGAACTTTTTTAATAGGCATCAAAAGTTTTGGTTGAATGGACTTTTAAAAGTTTTTTTTTAAATACCTTAATTTGTTTTGAAGATGAATGAACGTCTTATGGGGTTGGAATGATATGAGGGTGAGTAAATTATGACAATTTTTATTTTATTAACTAACCCTTCAAAGTCTTTGTGGGAGAACTTGCACAATTGGTGGCTGACTAAATACTTTTTTGCCCCACTGTATATATATAGAAAGCAGCAAGTTGTTCATGGTCAAGAAAGATAAACTAAGAATAACTTCTTGGAGAAGGGACAATAATGGGTAAACAAAAAAAACACACACAAGCAAACCCATTTTCCAACTGTTTATTTCCATTTTTCCAGTTATGATGTTAACAGTTGAATTTCAGTGAATTCTAATGAGGTGGTAATCTGCTAACCCTAATATAAAACAACTGCATCAGCTTGTGCAGTCTAATAAACCCAGCACCATGATCTTATGGTTCTTGTACAGTGTTTTGGACTTAAAATCAAATGCTAAGCAGGTCATGCAAGATACCGCCCATCATTGAGATTGGGGATGAGAAACTTTTCCTCTCCATTTCTATTATTCTCATTTCTTTTTCTCGAAACAGCAAAACATGGACAAACATTCCAAACATTTTCGCATAGATGTCGAGTCTGAAATAACATGGTTCATTGTTCAGCTGAGTTACTGCACATAAGCTGAAGAAAACAAAAAACAGTCTAGATTAGAATAAACCAAGACATACTCGCTGAATTGTATACACATACATACAGTACTTTCTCACAGATTCAAACTATACAGCCAGTTGAACACTCCTATTTTTCTGAATAAATAAATAAAATGAAATAAAAGTTACAATAATACTTGTAACCTTGTAGCAGTATAGCATCAGTGTGAGGTAGTTCAGACTCGACCTTCAAATGGCTCAGTGTTTCATGCCTAAAACATATCACATGTTCAGAAGCTTTTGCTCTTTGCAGGTACAGTTGGCTCAGGCTTCCCAGGCAAGTATATAGGGTTTAAAATCATTGCCACTGTTAAGAGCACTTAAAAACAAAACAACAATAATATAAAGTAATAGCAAGATATTGAGTTTTTACCCTGTGCACAGGTAAATATATCCAATGGGCTGAACCCCATGTCAACAACATTCAGATTCCCTCTAAACTCCACAACTTCAGGCCGATTCGGCATTCTCTATCACCTTCACATTCAGAAGCAAATGTAAAAGAAACCCACTTCCCTGATTTTTCTTAAACGTTTTATCAAATAATGTGTGGACCTCCACAGTATTCAATGACACAAGTTACAAAACACATATGTACAGTAGGTCAATCCCCAAAACAGTAGGTCCCATTCATTTACAGCACATCACATGCCAATAAAAACCTTCCAACCTGACGGGGGGGAAAAACAAACAAAAAAAAAACACTAAAAGTAAAACCGATCTAGAGATAAATTATTTTTATCATTCACTGTTGTACAAAAATAAATAAGTAGCTTAAAACTCTAATGGAATATGCTAAAAAAGTAACCAGTGTAGACTCTATTGTTGCTGTTCCAAATAATAATAATAATAATAAAATAATTGTAAATTATTAACATTTGTTCTACCAGCTCAGGAAATTTCAGACTCATATGTAACAAAACAAAACCTTACTAAGGGTTGGAAAAAACAGAGAAAAAAATGCAATGATACAATAATGAAGCGCTATGCTTGTTCTATACGCAGATTTTTTAAGAGGTAAAACTATTTTTTAATTATAAAAAAAAAAAAAAGAAATCCTAGGTAACTAGGACTAGAACAAAAACGAGAACCCCACAGACATACGCACAAGCACGTCACATTTCACATTCAACCAGGAAATTAACCAGCAGCAAAACTATTCATGGGAAAAAAGAACAGCCTGGTAAAATAAATCAATGTACATATAAAAATATTTTTTTGATGTTGCAAGTTATATCTAAATTAAACTGTACAAAATTTAAATAAAATTTGCTGCGCACAGTGATGGAAAATATGACCCAGAAAAAGCCACCTCAGGCAAGTTATGTCAAAATGAACTTAAATAACTATGCTGATATTAATTTGTGCAATATTGTTATGTCCATTCAAGAATACTAATATGGACTTGTTTCTAAAGTTTTTCATATCCCAAGTGACCAAGAAAATTATACATTGACCAGGAAAAAAATACTCAAAATAAATTAATTTGAGAAAATATATTCGCAATTCAATCTTTACAGATTACCTTCCAAAATCACTCTACGACAACTTGACAAAATACTCTAAACGTAGCTTTAAATATTAGGGCTGCTGCTAAAAAGATAAAATTGTGTAGTCATTTACAGCATCTAGAGCGGAACTCAAAAAAGCCACACCCGACCCGAAATGAAGTATTAGACTGGCCTAAATCTGATACCATGCCACACACAGAGAAACGCCAGGGGAAGGTGATAGTCATCTGCAGCAGCTCAGGGGTCCTGCGGAGGCCTCAAGGCTGCTGTCTGTGTCAGAGGCCACGGTGGGCTCTGTGGACATGGAGGAGACATCATTGATGGAGGAAGAGGAGGAGGGCTGGGGTGAGCCGTTGATCACTGCTGCACCTGTGCTATGTGAAACACAACAGTCAGTTAGATCACCTGCACGTGATGTGTGGTTATATGCAAATGGAAAATAAATAAAACATAATCAACACAATCTGCATTAGACTAAGAGAAACTCTTCTTAACTAACCTAGAGGGGAAGGCTGACCTCGAATAACACCGTTTTTCATCCATTCTTCCAAATCCAGGACTTCTTTATAGATCAGCTCTGAAGAAGACAAAGAAATAATAATTAGAATATAATGCGAGACAAAGAATAGATGAAAGAGTGAGGTCATTTATTTTGAAGTAGTCAATTCAAGTTTATTTGCTTATAAGACTACACTACACAATTTTTATCTAAATACAATGAAGCCATTTAAGGGAATATGGCTTTAGAAATGTATCTATTTTGCACAAAAACATAGGGATTTCAATTGGCTTTAATGAAATTGAACAGATACATAAAAACTAGGGGGGAAAAACATATAACTTGAGAACATGGTGATGAACACCAGCATGTAATTACATGAAAGAAAAAAAAGAATTGAAATGAAAGTCAATTGTTTTGTTTTTCTCCAAATGAACTGATTAATGAAAATGAATCAAAATTGGCAACACTTTTAGGAACTTGTAGCATCGTCACACTACATACGGTAGCTAGTTTGTTGGAACAACTAGTTTGTCATTGGAAATTTGGAATGGCTAGACTGTCTTGAAAACAGCTGAGCAACTGTCATGCAGCTGAAAAAAAAAACGTTCCATGAGTTGAAAGAAATATCAATCTTTCTAATTTTAGCAACTGCCGTCAGACATTTAAACATGCGGAGGAGCTTATTAACACTATTCAATCAGGTGACCCCTGCAGACAAGATTTCGACTGCGTGTGCAATGGGCAAATGATGCTCGTTCTCAACCTCTGGCATTTTCCTTTTGCATTGGATTTCACTCTATGAACTTTAAAATTAGAAAAACAAACCACCTTTCCACTCCTCCACTGTGTGATCCCTCTCATCGAGCTGTTTGTCTGTGATTAGAGGAGGTGGCTGAAGAGAGAAAGATAAGCACACATAATTATACTGGTGAGAAAAACAATCAATGTATTGAATATGAGCTTATCTGAAAAAACAAACAAAACAGAACCACAAACTCCATGTTTTTGTTGTGAGAACTATTAGATAGACTACCGTTGAAACGTATGGAGTAAATAATTTTTTGTTGTTTTTAAAAGAAATTATTAATTCTATTTCAAATAAATGCTGTTCTTTTGAACTCTGAAATTTATCACAATTAACAAAAATATTCAGCAGAATTTGAATGATTTATTGAAGGATCATGTGACACTGAAGACTGCAGTGATGGCTGCTGAAAATTTAGCTTTGCCAACATAGGAATAAATTACATTGTAAAATACAGTGAAATAGATAACATTGTTTAAAATTGTAAGAATATTGCACAAAATTACTGTTTTTGCTGTATCTTTGATCAAATAAATGTGGTTTTGGTGAGCATAAGAGACTTACTGAGAAAACTTACAGAGACCCCAAACTTTTTAACAGTAGTGTATATTAAGTTATCTATTTTTTTAAAACATCAAGTATCCTTGACATTTTCAAACCAATATTAATCTTTACATGTATATAAATTATAAAAGCTTATCAATAACTACAAACCTTTCATTTGCACAATTAAAATATTATTTTTTTTCTTTTTGTGCAAATTTACTGATGGAAATAACAAAAAAAAAGGTAACAGTTTTGATAAAAAGGTTTCAAAATTGCAGCCCTTGGTTTGATGATTTGAGAAAACAAAATCCAACATTATTTTTGTAAACTATTCATCAAAATTACATCAAAACAATGAGCTTGAATGTTAGTTGACTGCAATGGATTGGAAATTAGTGTGTGAATGCGCATAAGCTCACCGCTTCCACTTCAGCTGGGTCGTACCACACGTTAATGTAGGGGTGCTGCAGAGCTTCCTCTACAGAGATTCGCTTGGATGCATCTATCACCAGCATTTTAGACAGCAGGTCCCGCGCCTGGCTTGCTGCATAACAAATCACATCCAGTACAAAGTGTTAATGGTGGCTTAAGTGGCTTGACATGTCACCACAGCTGATTATTCAGGCTACTCACTGTGAATCCAATTAAATGATGGATGAAGTCTTTCATTTCCATGGTATTTAAATACTACACTGACAGAATACCAACATTTAGACATCCACATTTGCAAGCAGCATTTACACAGCTGTCCAAATAAGAAAAAAATGCTACAAAAAAAAATGTACCTTTCAGTTTGTTGTGTTCTGAATCAGCAGGGAACAGGACATCGGGAAAGAGCTTCTCAAAGCTGTATCCAGTGTACCGCGGCCTGTTCTCCACATAGGTCCGCACAGACTGGTTGAGTTTCGTCATGAACTCCTGAGATGGTGTTCCCAGCTGCTCTATGACTTTGTTCCACTGATCAATATCTTCAGGCATTCGAGGGTTAAGAAAAGTATAAACAGGCCTACCATATCTAAAATGAACTTCTTGTACATTGAACCAATTCATTTTGATTGCCTATGCTAAGTCTATTTAGTCCTAAAAGCCATAGTGTACCATGGAAAACAAAGTACTGTGTTTAATAAAAAGAAGTGATGACCATGGAATGGATGACACATGATAGACAGGTAAGGATACGATCTGAACCCGGAAACAACACACTACCTCTGACCATTTCAGCCATGATACAGCCAACAGACCATACATCCACTGAAAAGTGAAATGAAAGTGAAATTAGCATGCAACACGGAGCTAAAAAAAAAGGGGGGGGGGGGGGGGGGACGATAAAATCAGATGGCAAGAAGAGTGATGTGCGTCATGCAGGATCTGTCATGTCTAGCAGGGAAAGTCAGTGAGGATGGAGCACAGACGTAATAGAACGATCATTGCAATACTATAAATAAACCGGAAACGAGTTTCACAGGTCTGAGCATTTACACTCATGTTGTGACTAACAATGGTGACTCAACTGATTATGATGGAGGGGAAAAAAAAACATTGTACAATATTACAGATTTAGATTTTTTTACAGATGACATCAAAATCCTGATGTAGGCTTGGAAGATGGGACAATGTGTTCTCAAACACCATCAAGCCACCCTTAACCTAGTGGTATACCTCAAAGATCCCAAATTTCTAATATACTGTACACTACCATTCAAATGTTTGGAGTTGGTAAGATTTTTTAAATGTGTTAAAAAGTATTTTATGCATTCCAAGCCTCCATTTGTTTAATCAAAATACAGTAAAAATCAATAGACTTTTATTTTAATATATTTTATTCCTGAGATGTCAAAGCTGAATTTTCAGCAGCCATTAGTCTAGTCTTCGGTGTCACATGATCCTTCAGAATATGCTGATTTGGTGCTCAAGAAACATTTCGTATTTCGTTTATTATGTTAAAAACGGCTAAATATTTTTGTGAAAACTGTGATATATTTTTCAGGATGAATAGAAACTTTAAAAATGTAATTTATGCATTTATATTTTTTATTATTTGTAGTATTATAAATGTCTTTGCTATCACTTGATCAATTTAATGCATTCCCTTCTGAATAAAAGTAGTGTCTCATAAATGCAACCGACTCAGTGCTAAGGAGTAATTTTACAGTATGAAACAAACAATGTCAGACCCTTATCACAAGAGCAGAGAACAGAACAGCTAGAATGGCTGAATGAATGTCAAAACAACAAGTACCAACATACAATTGAGTTTAGTGCCACATAAAATACATTTTAAAAGAATTTCTAGGATAAACTAGAGAATAATTTCATAATATGCACATTGTTATGACTTTATTCTCAAACATTAGCTTCTTTTTCATTTAATATGAAACTAGAACAAGTACCAATGAGAAACAACTAATAAATAAAAAAGCAGGTGCTAGAAATCCAAAACTAACTCTTCAAATTAGTAGTGTTCATTAGACTTAGCCAGAAAGTAAACTGGAAAATCAACCCCCCCCCCACACACAGAAATAAATAAGGGAGTGAAATGGAAAAAAAAGAGCTATAACCAAAACACAACCAACCAATGTTTGATGAACACACAGCATGCATAACAAAGAACACAATCTAAAAGAATCGTCATAAACATTTATGCCAGACTAGCGAGGGACTATACACTATCTAACTCAATATGTGGCCCATGAGCAAAATGCAGTTTGTCAAAATGACAACAGACAATTCTAGCATTGATGATGCAGTTTTCTTTACTTGTACGGCTCAAGGATACAGTCCCTCCCAGGAAAAAGGATTTTGTGACGGACCATTTCTGCCAAAATGCAGCCCACAGACCAAATGTCCACTAAGCGCGTGCAGCAGAGGGAAAGAGAGAAAACAGTTAAGCAGGAAGTCAGGGGGTGTTAGTATTTTTGTACTGTTGCATAAGAACTTGTTTTATTCATTATAGTTTGGGTAAGAAATTAATGAACTAGGGCTGCCCACGACTATTAATTTTTCTAGTCGACTAATAGTCATTCATTTGAGCAATTAGTCGACTAATCGCACGTTTATATTAATAAACCATATAATTAATAATAATGAGCCTTTATTGCCTATAGCCCATCAGCGCTCAAGTGCACGCATAAAACTTTCCAAAGTGCACTGGCAGAAGCAATGATTATGAATGTGTCAGGGAAAAACAGCAAGAAGACTGCCTTAACATTATAATAATGATAAACTAGTGTTTTCTGTATTTTTGGCTGCAGCGATCTCCACAGTGGACGTGCATGCTTCATACGGATTACATAATCTGAAAATATTTGTTTTCCATTTGAATTGGTTCATTTAAAAGTAGACTATTCGCTTTCTATAGATATATTTTTCATGTCGGTGAGGCAAACACGGAGTGTTTTAATCTTTAATTTATTTTCTTTTTTGACACGCTCAAGTTCACAGAGACCTAAGAGACCTAATAATGTTTGCTTTTGTTATTTTACAAAAGCACAACGTTCTGTTGTTGTTGTGAGTGCACGCAAATAAAAGTAGACCTTTTACAGATTCGAAAGATGTATTACTCTGGATGAGCAAAAATTTGTATTTTAAGTCAAATGCAAATGATCGCTCCGGCGACTCCAAGTGAACTGTCATGAAGTGAGCGCGATATATTCAGCTTCCACACTCCGCACAAACACTTCAATAGAGCACATTTTTCTAGATTAACGTTAAATGTAATGTTGCTGCTACTTACATGTTTCAGATGATAAGTCACATTTGAGGTCGATGAACAAAACGAACGTTTGGATGTCCGATGTACTGTAATTACCACATAGACCAGCTGTTAATGATCTGTCCATCACAGACTTCGCCACTTCCCGTGGAATTTGTTTGTTCTGTGACTAAGCAACTAATAAAATGTTGATCGACTAAAGCCTCTTCTCGTCGACTAATGGTTAGTCAACTATCAGGGGGCAGCCCTAGAATGAACACATCAAGCCATTGTCTACTCATCACACACTGAACAGGCTTCACATTTCATCAAAGAGAAAACAAAAAAGAAAGAATTCCCAACAAATCTTATCCCTCGTAACACATTTTGGTGCTGAAACCAGAAAGCTATTAGTGCAAGGAAAACATTAGAGAGGCCTATAAAAGCGTCAAATGAAACCTGCAACACGAGGATGATATTGGCCGTTAAGCATGCATAGGATGTGCCAACTAGGCATTCTGAAACTTGTCAGCAGCACTGACCATTGGCTTGATATCCCATTCCCAGGATGACTTCAGGGGCCCTGTAGTAACGTGTCACCACATATGGTGTCATCAGCAGACCTGTAGCTGCTGTCCTGGCCAGACCGAAATCCAGGATCTTCAGGGTACAGTCTGACTTTACCACAATGTTACTGGGTTTTAGATCCTAAAGAATCACAAGATGGAATATTAGTAAATTTTTCATTTTTCATGTAAATGAGAGTAAATAAAAGCTTGCATCTCATTTACTGCTTGTATGTTTTAACACATATTTAAAAGTCCAGTCCAAAAGTCTGAGACCTAAAAAAAAAAAAAAAAAAAAAAAAAAAAAACCCGAAAAAAAAAAAAAACACACAAAGTTTTAGGATTAAAAAAGAAAAGAAAATTGTAACTAATAATAATGAAAAGGTTGTGACATACTGTTTGGTGCTAGTATGACTTTTTAAATATTTTTGAATTAAGTCTCTTATGCTCACCAAGGCTACATTTATTAAAATAAAGAAGAAACAGTAATATTGCACAATATTACTACAATTTATAATACCTGTTTTCTTGTTTAATATATTTTTTTAATGTAATTTATTCCTGTGATAGCAAAGACAAATTTTCAGCAAACATTACTACAGTCTTCAGTGTCACATTCTTATATAGAACAGTTCAAAAGAACCACATTTATTTTAAATAGAAATTCATGTCAATGCAACTTTCCACTCAAACTGTTATGCTGATAATATACTGTAAAGATAAACATTTAATTAAATGAGAAAAAAAGCAAAACAGAGGCAGACTTTTGGACGCATGGCTGTAGCTATTAACATTCAGGAAATATTTATGGGTAAATGTAAATTTAAAAAATGTGTTTCAGTTTTTATCAAAATAAATAATTGCAAATAAACTGCCATAAGTGGCTTTGGAAAGGGGTTGTAGATGTCAGCTACATTATTCACTATTTTTGGTTTCACTTATGGTCCTGTCTGACGGATAATTGACCAAAAAAACAGTATATTTCCAAGGGCTACAGTGTATCAAACCTAATGTTCTGTATTCCACTCTCAAACAAGTCTTTCCACACCATTAACCTTGAAAAAGATGACTTATTTCCTTTCAGTGTTCCTATGTTTTCTCATTACCTATCAATCGATCTGTCAGAATGAAACCATTTTTATTCATTTAATGCTTGATTACCCACGGTTGCAAATGAAATTTGCATTTTTAATGTTCAAAGGTCGGCATTTATGATACATGATCTTGTGCAGTGACACGAGATTCATTGTATTAACAAAGGACTCCGGTTATGTCTGTGCAAAAGCAGTACACTGTATAAGACAGAGGTAAAGTCAAGGTGAAACGGGACTACAGGACAGCGATGTTTACTGAGGATCACTTGATCGCTTCCCTCCTGTCGCCTCTCAACACGTCCCTGCCTCAACAGCGCAATGCAGTCCACAGCAGCAGCTGCAGTCAGGCAGGCAGGCAGGCAGAGGTCTGGCTTTTTGTAATCAGCCCAGGGGATGAAACCCTTCCCCCTCCCTCACCTTAACTGATTATTAAGCTTTTCGCTGTCAGTGCAACCTTGGCTGCGTACGGCAGTCTTTTTGTTTAGACGGAGAGGCTTTAGGCTAAAGAGCACAGACCCTGTGGATGATCCCCGCCGAGTGGAGGTGTTTTATTCCGCACAGCATCTGGTACAGCAAATAGGACAGCCGCTCGTGGTCCAGCTCCATCTGAATGACTTGGCAGAGGTTGGCATCCATCAGCTCCATTACTAGGTAACTGCCGTTGGGGAAGGGGCGGGAAGGGGAGGGACAAAAAAGAGGGTGTGATGTGGGGGCAAGAGAGAGTAGAGAAGAAGGGGAGGGGTGTGTGTGGATGGGAGAGAAAGGGGGGAGAGCATTAGGGGGGTATCAGCTGGGGTCTGTCATTTTTAACCATATAAATACGCAATATATACTCACACATCTTGGAATTCGTCTAATGATTTTTGTGATGTAAAAACATTTAACAGACATATTATCTGGAAATGAAAATGCACATCCATTAGACGGCTTATGCTCTGCTGGATTTCCCATTGCATGCAACATGTTACGACCCATTTGGGGTCATGACTTACGTTTTTATGGTTGACACACTTCATGAGCACCAGCTCTCTGTATGCGCGTTTGGCATGAGTCTGATTCTGAAAAGGCCGGCTGAGTTTCTTTATAGCCACATTTCGCTCAAGGTTGTGGTCATACGCTGAGCTAAAAGGGAAAAGGATGCATAAATCAGATGAAAAGATGCAGTGACTGTGTAACGTCCTTGATTTGAGGTGGAATACGAGCTCTAGAACATACCAGACTATTCCCTGAGCACCCGAGCCAATGGGTCTTAGATTCTGATACCGCTTCAACACTGTGAATGTTGAATCACCCACATCTACGCTGTAGAATTCTTTTTCTTGCTTATTTTTGTTCATGGTGAAGCCGATGTGTGAGCATCCGAACAAGGCAGACTTTTACAAACCTAGACCATAAAAACAAAACAAAACCCAATATAATATTGCAATTGTTCTGATATCTTTATAACCGTCACATGATTTTCCTGCAGTACCTTTTTTTTCTGGCACAACAGAATAAACTGAAAGGACAGCATAGAGTGGTCTTGAACCTCTTTTTGGCTCTGGGCTTTATCTCTATGCCATCAAAAAGAAAATAACTAGAGCATACAGCTGTTAGAAACACACGCACACATAAAAAGGGGACTCATACGCCACTAAAGAGTAGGGCAGTTTCCTAATAGCTCTTAACCTGAGTTAAAACAGCAGGACTAACAGCATGACCCAGTTCCACAGAAAAATGCTTCCACATTTTCTTGTTGTTTCCGCAAATGGCATAATATCAGAGATATTTTTTCCTGACATGTCGCAGTACATTAAAAGTAACACAATTCACTGTGGTGAGAGGAAGTAGCACTGCATATGTCTGAATATGAAAGCATGAAGAAACTGCATTTTGGATCCACAGCAACAGAGAGAGAATTTTGACAAGTTTTTATTCTGGACATGCTTTGATTTGTGGTTGTAACGGTGTACAATCAAGCAAGGAAAAAAATATAAATAAATAAATTACCAAACATGTTTTGACATAGAGGCCAATATCAATGCTTATATTGTATAACCAGGCATGCACCCAAACAAACCAGTTAATCAAGTTAAGAAACACAATTTCTCATTTTAATCAGAGTCTAATAAAGGCAAAGACTTCCAGGCTAATAACACTGACTCACAACTACTTAGCACAACATTCCTAGAGAGAATAATTTCAAACCACAAGTATTATTATGCACAATAAAAGAAATTATTAGAAACTGTATTCAAGCAATTGAAGATCACTGATAAAAAACAAGTAAAAATGAAACACAGAGACTACTGTCATATAAAGAATGTGACAAATCCTGATTAAGACACAGACTTTTATGGGTTGTTCATGCCTCTAAAAAAAAGGGCTCACAGTTTGTTTTCGTTTCATTAATAATTATAACAATTTATTCATCAAACACATCTAATGGGCACATTCTGTCAAGCTGGAATCAATCAGCCTGTCGAGAAATTCATTCAGAAGTTACATTTAAATGTTTTAAAAATATGTGTATCCTGATTTATATGACAGTACAGGCCAGGAAGATACTATATACACACAAGAAATGTATAGTATAGCCTATCTTTTGTCTAGCCTTAGACAGTGATCAGTATGCATTCTAAACCTATAAGTAATTCAGCTTTTCATATGTTACGTTCCTGATTAAATTGTATCCAGAATACACACACAGTATGGTTACAGTGGGTGGCTGGCAAAGCGAGCAGCTTGACAAATAGCATTGTAAGCGATCTCACGTAACGTTAACCCACGGAGCCCGGCTCATTTATTAGCCGCTACGTTTAAAAGTCTCATCATTCAAAACAGCGACATTGTCGTATTACTGTTTCAGATAAAAGAAAATGAGCTGTGATGTATGCTGACACCCTCCCCCACGGCGTAACAATCCCACGCATTAAAACCACCTTAAAACGCTTACTTACCTGCTACGATTGAAATATAAACACTTCCTCTTCCTAAATGCCACTTAAATACCAGGACTCTTCGGAAACGATGTGGTGAAGGCTCTATCGATTATTAAAAGCGCTTATTCTGCTGCTGGTCTCGATAACATGACCTCGCCGTATTGAAAGCGCTTTCTTCCTCTGGCAGCAGGCCTCGCGTGCACTGCGGACGACATGCGCTCTACGTCAATAAACCCCCATGCGTTTCCGTGCCATCACACCGGTCTATTCATAGATACAGAATTCTATCTATCTATCTATCTATCTATCTATCTATCTATCTATCTATCTATCGTCTGTCTGTTTGTCTGTCTGTCTGTCTGTCTGTCTATAAAAATCTGTCAAAAATAATATTGATATCAATTCTGTTGTGCATCCTTTTAAGGGTATTATATTCAGCCCACTCGGATAGTTATTTTAATTCATAAAATATGAAAATACATTGGAAAAAAAATACACATTTAAAACTATGTAAATTAATCTTAAATCCTTTTAATATTTATTGCATGAAAATTGCTATATAAATCTGTTTCTCAAAAAAGAGGGCTGTCCACAGTTATGGCACCTAATAAAGTTTTTTCAAAAGTATTTTGTTTACCAAGGAGACAACAGTGGCAGTGATGAGCTTGAGATGAAATAGACAGGTAAAACCAATTGTTTTAATATACCTTTTTCTTTTTTAATTCTGTGTAATTTTCAATCAAGCTGTAAAACTATGCAAGAAGTGTGGAAACGTTCAATTGTGTGTATTTTAGATACATCTGCTAGCTAGCTTTAGCAAGACAGCCATTTTATTCCAAAAATGTTTTAAATGTAATTTCCACTACAGAATGATATTTAACACAATACGTGGTGAGAAAGAATCAGAATTCTTCTGTGCATGCAACAAGGACATGAAATGAAATGATACATATTCAAATATATACATATAAGGACCACAGCTTCACTCTCAGAAAAAGGTACCAAACTGTGGGCAGTAGCCTTTCAGAAGGTACTTATATGTACATTCTAGGTAATAATATGTACCTTTAAGGTACTAATATTAAGAGTAAGGTGCAAATATGTACCATTTAGCTTTTGTTCCTTAAGGCACTGTCCCAGTGACAGATTTGTACCTCTGTTTTTGGGAGTGTTGAGTAAAAAATGTTCCTGAAGACTTCCTCATCCTCTTTTGTCGCTGCTCATTTAATCCAATTGAGCTCTTAGCTGTAGTCTAAGAATAGTTGTTCAATTTGCAAAAATGTTTCGAGGTCCCACAGACATCAGTTGCTTCTTAGTGATTAGATGTGAGTAGTTTATCAGTAAATGCATTTTTGCATGGTTGTACAATACTACAGTATGCTGAAGCAGAGATTGTGCGTGGCTGGGTCACATGAGGCACTTTGTAACAGAAGGTAAATGAAACATGTAGTGATCCACAGGATTAAAGTGTGTGTGCTGGGACTGAAGGCATCAGAGGGAGATCAGGACCTTAAGACATCGAATGCTAGAAGGTAAAATCTGTTGATATTCCCAAGATGATAGATCACATTTAGTAGAATTTGTACTATTATGTGAATCTATCTACTATTATGTTTTCATTTAAAATTCACAAGCATCAAATGCTAGAAGGTAAAATCTGTTGATATTCCCAAGATGATAGATCACATTTAGTATAGTCTGTTTGTAATTAATGCTGTTGCCATGACTTGGTCAGCTATATTGGTATGCTATTAAAAAGCTACAGTGCTGAGCTGTGTATCTTTGCATGTGTATCTTTTTATTTTGGACAGGGAAAGCCTAGAACCTCTCGAACCTCCTGATATATTTAGTAATTTAGGCAGTGTTTGTACATGCCCCTGTTAGTATTTGTGCACAGAGGCTACACTGTTTGTCAGAGTATTCTCAGATTTGATTATTGTAGGAATGCAGAGAGAGTTTAGTGTCATTTATTTCTCTTAGTGCATGAGAAATTGTATGTCTTCCTATACTTATAGTCTGAGAGAGCTCAAGCTTATATTGATTTTTATTTTAAGTTTAGAGGCACATATATACAGCTTTGTTGATTTAAGTGTTTTTAGCATTTGTCTGCTTAAAATTAAGCATTCTATTTCTGACAGGCCACAAAAAGAAACTCAAGGCTCCTTGTAATGTTCAGACCTATGTTTACACATCTGCAGGTCCTGCTTAACCTTCTTTGGAGTTCAAGCTCATTATTGCATTGGTACAGTTTTGTGTGTGTATGTGTCCAGCCCAAACATTTGTTGTTCTAATTGATCTGATATGAGGCAGTGAACAACCTCAGGTATCTATAAATAACTTATATTTAGATTATTGCATTTGCCATATTTTAGTATGTCCTTTTTTTTACAAAGGTGTTGAGTCAGCCTTTTAACACCCAGGTTGTGTAATTAACTAGACGCTGTAATCTCGCTGTATTGGCACATGGACTTGTTTAATATAATAAGCCTCAAGACAACCAAACAACAAAAGACTGAATGTAAGGTTTTAAAATATACTACATTCTTATTTAAATGCATTTAGTATATTTACTTAATATAATTCATATATATTGTTTAATCTAATTTTTTTAATCTAAATTACATTTTAAATTTTACATTTAGTGTATTTTTGACAATATTACATTTCTGAAAAGTCATATAGATGTCTTATTTTTCAAGCAGTACTTCAGATTTTACAAAATATACTGCTAAATGTCTGAGTCAGCAGTATACAGCAAAATCATTATTATTTATGAGAGCTGTTACATAGCCTTTACATTTTTTTTTTTACATTTTAGTACATTCCTCTTGACTTAAACCAGAGATGAACCTGAAAATATTTTGCTCTCCGTGTCATTAAATGCAATGTAGTATTTTACCTTGACATGATAAAATTAGCAGAGTAAGAGTGTCGTTGACAATAATGTCATGACATGATGGCTCACACTGGTGACATCTCTTGGCACATTTACTTGAGAAGTCACTTGGAGTATCCTTATGGACATTTGATTATATCCCGCTTCTCATGACAGATCACTGTAATCCTTAATTTTTATTTTTAGCTAAATTAATTAAAAAGTCACTAGTATTCTGTTGATAATTTTCTAATAAATCCCCAAAAAGGTGTGTACATTAAAGTTCATTTCTGCTCTAGCTAGCAATTTAGATTTATGAATTTCTACATCAAATCAAAAAGAATGGTACCAAAGAAACATTATTTTGTTAAGTGAATATTATTGATTAGTCCAGTATACATGTACTTGATATGAAATGTCTCCCTCTGGCTTCCATTTTGAGTAGTTACAGTTAGACTCTTCAGACCGCATCAAAAGACTTCAGGAAACTGTCTGTATGTCTGTATTGTTCAGTATTGCAGCAGGGGAAAATACTATAGACTTAGATGTGGAGTAGAATTAGATATTTTAACAAAGATATTTAATATTGGGGAAAAAACAGCTGAAATCTTTTGGCATAGTTTGTAAAACAAATATGTAAAAAAATTTAAATCATAGTTTTGCTATTGATCTGAAAATGATCTGAAAATGACAAACAAAAGTGAAGAAATAAATTTATATGTGTCCTATGAAGTTAGAAATGAAGTGGATAGCTGGAATGAGGTCAGCAAAAGACAAAAATAGATAATTGCAGACAGATTTAGATTTACACATCACAAATTATAAATCATGTTCATGTTCATGTTCAAATCATGTATATTACACAATATTGTTATGAAACATTGGTGATGAGCTCAGAGTCCCTACTGATCACTTTGTTTAGGCTCCATCCTCCTCTTTCAACAGATTTCTCTCCACCTCCATCAGCCAGTTAGCTTGTGTCTCTCCTTCTCAGGTATCTGTCTCTCGATTCCGCAGGATGAGCAGCACGTTTGTGACCCTCGCCGAGGTGCTGGAAGCCAGAGGAGGACCGCTGGAAGAGGACGAGGTATGGTCGCTCCTGCTGGGCTCAGCTGAATCACTCTTAGACCTTTCCTACAAAGGTAAAACACTGACCTTGAAGTTAGGTGATTTTTCCTGATGGTGAAGAGGGCACTCCATGCAAAATGAATTGAATGTGGGTCTGTTTTTCTAGGTCACAATATCTGCAACATTATAACTCCTGCATCACTGCTCTTGTCCACGACTGGGATGCTGGCATTCAAGAACTGTGCTATGACAGATGAGTTGTGTGCCTTCACAGCCC